GATGCCTCAAGATGGCTTTCACGATGCTCCAAGAGGCCCCAAGACCGCTCCAAGACGGCTCCAACTGGCCAAACAGGCTCCCCCAGAAGGCCACGCCCGTCCGGACACCGAACGCCCCGCCCCTCCGGGCACCGAACGCCCCGCCCGTCCCGGCACACGTGCCATCTGCTCCAGGGTGCGCGTTTCCGACGGGATCCTAGGGAATTCCGAAGGAATCCTGAGGGATGCGATGGAATCCGACAGAAATCAAACGGAACTCCTTCGGAATCCAACGGGGTCCCGAAGGAATCCTGTTGAAGTCCTGAGGAACCCTTCAGAATCCGATGAAATTCCTTTGTGATCCGAAGGAATACCTCAGGAATCCGATGGAATTCCTGGGGGATCTGATGGAATTCCTTCGGACTCCAATGGGATGCCTTAAGCATCCGATTGGATTCGGGTCGGACTACTTGCGCCTCCACTTGGGGTGGGTGGGCGGGGGGGGGGCAAGCCCTAATTTTGCAGAATCCCGAGTAGGTGCTCACTGAAGTGCCCGAAAGGTGCTGGGGATCCGAAACCAGTGACCAGCTGCCCCTCGGCCGAGAGCGTGGTACAGGGGCGCCGCATCATGGGGCCCTTGATTGACCTATGAGCATTCATGGCCCCCTGGTCCAACTCTTCAGTGAGCCGAGAGTGCGAGTCCTGCCCAGCAATCTCCTGGCAATGATTGACACGGACTTCGAGCGCAGTCTTCAGACGAGAATAGAGACCGTCCAGCCAGGCAAGCAGGTCGGCCATCTGCCCAAACTCCAGCGGACCCCGAGCAGGTCGACCTGACAACAAGGCAAGGTTCAAATTGAAGTCCAGCAAGAGTTTAGGAGGAGAAGAAGACTGCGGGCCCTCAACGCACTGGATTGCATCCCGCTCCTGGAGCCGGCCCCTGGCAGTCGACATGAGCTGCGCATTATCCTGGTGTGGCCTCTGCTTCGGGGCCTACTCGGAAAAATGACAGAGAAGACGACTTCGGCGGTTCCTCCTGCGGGGCCCTGAGCACGACAGCTGCCCCCCCCAAACGATGAGCCAATTCTTGCTTCGAGCCGCTGGCCCGCTGCTGGTGGGCCTTGCTGAGGAGCCTCGAGACAGACGCCGCGCCCCTGGGCCGAAGTGTTTTCTCCCCGAACCCCATGGACACTTCGGCGCGGCTAAAATCCTCGGGCCTGGAGGCGCGCCCTGCCGGAGCATCGGAAGGGGGGGGGGTCCTGGGCCCCGATGCCTGCAGACGGCGCAGGGCAGCCTGAAACCGAAGATCAATAACAAATTGCTGGGAAAAACTCACCACCTACGGATCGACGCACACCCCTGGCGCCGCTCGCCAGCCCACCAGAGATAATGAAGTAGTCATACCCCGAGCTGCCGATCTGTCGCACCGAGTCGAGACTATAGACAGAAAACAACGCGAAGGGAACGCTCCCAGGAAGATGCGCAATAGCCCCCGGCGCCCTGCCCTCGACGATGGCCGACGGGAGGTGAAGACCAAGAAACTGCCTGCGCAAGATAGCTGCACCACGTGCAATGCCCCCCCATCCAGGGGCCCTCAACGCAAGATTCCAAACCGACTTCCCAACGTGGTCGAAGCAGTGTTTCGAAGCCCTGGCAATGCCGTCTGGGTCTTCCAGGCTGTGCTCTTGTACGAGTAGAACGTGACTACTTTGAGCAGAAGGCGACCAATCTCGGAGCGACCCCCCCCTGTCGCAATTCGCCGTCGTGAACATGAATTCCAGGCTGTCGCCCAGGGGGCGTGAACCTGATCCTGGGGCCCCTGGGCCCGAGCGATCCTGTGGAAAATTGATCCCCGCCAAACCGAGGCGAAACTCGACGCCGGCCCGGCGAAAAGTTGCCTCTCGAACTCGAGAGGGCAGGGGGGCAGGGGTCAGATTCTTCCCGTGGCCGTGGGGCTCCGACTTGGCAAGTCCAAGAGTCCCCGCCGCCGCTGGGCGGGGGGGGCGCGCAGGGCTCCGACTTGGCAAGCGCCGAACGGAGGCGCTCTCGCAACTCGGGGCTCGCTCCTGACGGGGGTGGGGGGGCGCCTTGGTGCCTGATGACGAGGCGCTCGCGCCAGCTGCAGGAGCAGCAGGTGGCGCGGCTGGGGCTCCACCCCCAGCCTGAGCGGGAGCACCATGTCCAGGGGGGGACTTCTGCAGCCTCGCAGCCTGCTCCCTTGGCCATCTTCCTTTTCTAAATGGCCAGGCGAGTGAGATTGTTCGCGGCGTGCCTCGACGATGGTGGAATCCGCCTCGCCGAACAACTCATTGGCCATTTCGCCCGCGCCCTGCTGGAAGATTGCCTTCCTGGCCTCGATCTGCTCCGTGTCATCCTTGGACAGCTCGCACTCCCAAGGCAGGCCTTGGAAGATGTCATCGTCCACGTCGAACTGAAAGTCCCCACTTTCCTCGACCAGCGCCTTGAGACTGAGCTTTGGCGCGACTGGAAGATCAGGGACGACCACGTGCACCTCGTCGCTGATCTGCAGCACCAGCTCCTTGTACTTGGGTTCTTGCCATCCAACTCCTTCTCCACGCACGGGGCCAGGCGGGAGGGGGCCAAACAAGGCCACCTGCTTGTCGATGTCTTCAGCCACAGGAGAACCATGAGCAGGAAGACTTGCACGCCCTCCACCACCGAACACGAGCCCGCAGACTGTGGCGCACGGCAGTGCTGGCACCACCACTGGGCGCTGCGGTTCTTGGCGCACCCGCAGCTCCCACAGCGCCGGCGCGAGGCATGCGCGGGCGCCGGCATGGCGTGCCACGGAGAGGCGGCCACTGTGGAGACTGGGAGAAGGGTAAACACAGCAGGCGCCACCTTCCCATGGTGGGCTGGAAGATGTGCAGGCGCCACCTGCAAACGGTAGGCTGAAAGACGAAACCAAGGCTTGAGCCAAAATGGCTGCGGGAAAAAAAAAACAAGTATCTGATCAGAAACGCGATGTGTTGATCGCATATGTACGGGACGTGTATGCACCAACTCTCCAACACCTGAATCATCATATCATTCTCGATGTGAGAATAGACGATGCACGCCCTCCACTTCCACAATATGACTTCCGGCGCGAAACTCACTGAAAAGGATGATGTCCAAATTCTGGTTTCCTAATTCAACGGTCAATTCTGCAAATTTATGTGGGCCGTTGGGCCGGGCGATCTTGCAGAACACATGCAAATCTTAACAGCCCTCTGGCTTGGGTGGTCCAGCGAACTCACTCTGCTAACTCCCTTCTTCCTCTTCGGGGAGGGGTTTCCCCCTCCCCCTACTCCCTCCCCCTGGGACTGGACGGGGGGTCCCGCGAGGCGTTGGAGCGCCCAAGATGGCCCCATGTGCCCAGGTGGCTCCAAGAGGGCTCCAAATGGCCTCCAAGATCGCTCAAGATAGCTCAAGTGGTTCACGATAGCCTCCAACATGGCTCCAGGCGCCCTCAAGACCACCCTCGGATGGCTCCACGTGCTTACGATGGGCGCTTGAGCCCTCAGGACGGCTCCAAGATGGCCCAAGCCGGCTCTAAAGGGGGGCCAGTAGGGACCAAATACGGCCCCGAGGGCGTCCAAGAACGTCCCAAGCGGTCCCCAATATGCAAATTGTTGGGCGCAGACGGGGGGGGATCAAACATATGCGACCTGATCCCAAAAGCACCCCCTGGATCCGAAGAGAGCCCCCCAAAAACGTCCCAGCAAGAGACCCCAAACAGCGCTCCAAGAGACCCCAAGGGCCTGAAGGGACTTCCAAGAGGGCTTCAAGATGATACCAGGAGGCTTCCAACAGGCACCGAGAGCGAACGATCTGCAAAGGCTTCGATGGTGGATTCCTGTCGTCGTCGTCGTCGTTCCACTGATGACTGCATGCTGCTACGCATGCCTCACCAGGGCAACACCGCTGGCGACTGCCTTTTGGATGAGCGGGTGACGACGCGCCAAGAATTAGAATCAGTTGGATGGGATGAGGCTTGCCTCGATCGGTGGAGGAAGCAATAAAGGAGGAGGATACAACCATACAAAATACGTAAACATAGACGCTCGAAGGTCCGCGCGGATTTGTTGCATCGGCGCGCGAGTCACGGCTCTCAACTGCTGCGCAGGTGCCAGGGGAAGCGGCAGCTGGCGTGGGCCGCGAAGGGGTCGAGGTTTGGGCCACGAGGGGGCCCCGGAACTTCTGCGTTAAAAAGCATTTAAGAACGTGGCCGCAATGAGGCCATGGTGGGAAGAGGGGGAGGGCCCAACGCCGACCCAGTTCATCCACGCGGACCTCCGCGTCTACCACGGCATCTCTACTCCGATGGGAGTCTAGGAGGAGGGAGGGGCAGGAGGAGGAGAACGACGACGGCGACGAGGAGAGAGAAGGGGGGGCAAGAGAGGGAGGACGACGACGACAACCACGAGGCGGGGGGAGGGAGGGGCAGGAGGACGAGGGCCCCAGGCATCTGGCCGCTCCAATTTTTCGATGCGTGGGCTGCGGAGGTCTGAACCACTTCCCCAAGGCAGGTTTGTTCGTCCTGAAAAAAATTGTTGACGCTCCCGAGGCCCAGCGAGGGCCCCCGGAGGCCGAAACGGCAACACAATCGCCCGCTCCAATCTTCGGAGCGTCGGATCTCTGGGACGGCGGCGGCGGCAGGAGGAGACGAGGACTGTTCTCTTCTCGAGCCCTTGGTGGCTGCTGGGAAGAAACTCTGGCTCGGGCTCGGGCTGGAAGAACCTCTGGCTCTGCCCCTGTCTTTGGACGCCCGAAATGGGCACGGAAACAATGGGCACAATGCCCAACAGCAAGTGTTGTTCCAAATCAACAGCGGCGGCTGTTGGGCAGGCGGCCTTCTGTCTCGAATGGACACAGGCCGCGGCGGCGCGGACAGCGAGTCCTGTTCAAAACGAACAGGATCCGCTGTTGAGCTTTGTACCCATTCTTTCCGTGCCCATTTCGTTCGTGCAGACTGTCGAGGAGGCGAGGGCGAGGACGACGACGACCCGACGGCGGGCCTCCCCCGCCGCCGAGGACGCGGAGGACCCCCTGCTGCTGGCCGACTGCACGCGGCTGGGCGCCTAGCGAGCGCGGGCCGCGGCCGCCGTCCGCCGCCGTGCGCCGCCGCCGACGCCGCCTTCGTCGTCCTCGTCGAAGATCGGGGGTCGAGGGTCGAGGATCAAAGTCCGAGGATCGAGGGTCGAGGGTCGAGGATCGAGGGTCGAGGATCAAAGTTCGAGGATCGAGGGTCGTCCTCGTCGAAGATCGAGGGTCGAGGGGTCCTCGTCGAAGATCGGGGGTCGAGGGTCAAAGTTCGAGGACCGAAACGCTTGCCTGGCTTGGGCGAATTTTCGGGGGCCTCCAGGGGGCGCCACAGTGGCCACGGCCGGATACCCGTCGGAGCTCTGGCCAGGAAAGAGCCTCACGGCGGGTTTCCAGGTCGCTTGTCTGTTTCGAGAAGGACAACTGCATTGACAGAACATGTCGACGGTCCAGGCGGATCCCTTGGATCTGAATTGGACCCCCCTCCTTGGCGCACAGAGCGCGCCAGGGGCGGCGCTGGAGGCGCCGCCAGGGGGGGCCAGGGCAGATCCAAGATATCCGTGCGGACCGCCAGAAGTGTTATATATATATATATATACATTTATATAAACATATACCTACTTACACAGAATGTGTATATAAAAATGTATATGCACATATGAATATGTTTACTACATATACAGTTACATAGACACATACATGTATACAAATAAAAGCATAAACTAGAACCATCTCGCGCGCTTCGCGCGCGCTCAAGTTTTACCTGGGCTTGATGGACGAACGCGTTGAATATCATCCTTGTCGTTTCTTCATCCAGGGACTCTCTTGGACGCCCTGCGCAAGCCTTGGAATCGCATAGAAGGGGAACTGCGGAAACGCAGAAATCGTTAACTGCCGTTAGGTATTCAACGATCTGGGGCCCTCGAAGGCTTCCTGGGTTCTTTCCTGGGGCCTTCAATGGTCTGTTGTGCAAGAATAGACAGGGGAGCGAACTTGGGAAAAAAAACGGAATGGTGGGATTTCCTTTCTGTTCAGATTGTAGTGCCTGGGCTGTGGGTTAGACGTTTTCTGCCTGCAGGCCACGGTCTGTTGCGATGCCTGTCGGGGTCTTCGTGCAAGCGTAATCAGGGATTAATTTGAAAAAACAGGAATTCTATAATTCTACTGCTTCAGCTCATGGGATCATGGGATCTCGATTTCTACAATGGTTTCAGGGGCAGCCAAGAGGACACGAAGACGATCCAAGAGAGTGCCAAGACAGCGTCAGAGAGTTCAACAGCATTCCCCCGGAACATTTTTGCATGTGACCCCGAAATCTAGATGGGGCTCGAGGAAGAGGATAGGGAGTAGGAGTCCCAACTTGAAAACAAAAATCTCTAGATTTTTTGGGGTTCCCAAATTCCTCGGTCTTGGAGCGTTGGAAGCGGGAACACGTGAGAAGGCGAAACAAATCAACAAAAACATACGAAATTCAACGTTCTTACCCTCTTCGAGCTCTCGGGACGGCTCGCGAAGCTCTCTTGGGCTGTTTTGGGGGCCTCGTCGGGAATGTGTTGGGAGCCTCTCTCAGGTCTGGGGTCTGTTTGGGGCCTCTAGAGAGTCACGGAATCTTCTCGGAGATCTCTGGCGGCCTCCTGCTCCCGCTCTTGGGCTCATCTGGGGCCTGTTCTGGGGTGGTCTGGAGCTGTCCTGGGTGCCTGTTCGGCAGTCTTGGGGCCGTCTTGGCCTGTCTTGGGACCGTCTTTGGGGCCTCTTGGGCGGTTTTGGGGGCCTCGTCGGCCGTCTTGGAGCGTTCGAGTTGGAAGCATGAAATGGTGAGAAGGCCAAAGACCGTTTTTAAAAAACCATGACAATGAACGATTTTAGGTTATCGGGAGGCCTGTCGGAGCTCTCTTGAGGTCTTGTGGCAGATTCCTGGGAGCCTGGAGAGCCGCCCGAAAGCTATTCTGGTGGGTTGCTCAGGAACATCTAGGGCCTTTTTGTTGACGTTCTGGGGGCTTCTTGGGGTTGTCTTGGGCTGTCCTTGGGCGTTTCGGAGGCTCCCCGGGAGGTCGGGAAGCGCGGCACCGGGAGCGTTCCGCAGATGTTCCCCCCCGCCCCCTCACTCTTGTCCGCGACTGCTTGGTGCTACATAGGTAAGACTGAACAACGCTGTCTTCTTCGATCGCATTCGTCCGTCGTTCGAGCACGAGCACTCGCCATCGCTCGGACGTCCATTCCCTGTGTTTTGTTTCTGGTTTCGTGTGTGTTTTTGCTTGCCGAATGATCAAGGATGCTCCTCGAGGGCCCTCGCCGAAGGAAACATGCACACGTCCGAGCGATGCCTAGTTCCTCACAATGCATTCATGCATAGTGTTTTCGCCTCAGTGACAGCGACATGCTTGGTCCAGACGGCCACGATCCATGTATGAACGTACACTGAGGTACACATGCCCGTGCCTCGACCTCCTTCCCGTGCACACGTCCGAGCGATGGCTGGAGCATTCGATGACGCCAAACGCAAGCGGCTTGAGGCCGTCGTTCGGGGATCTGGGGCGGGCGCCCTCGCCGCCACGGCCCGGAGAGGCGGCAGCCTCACGCGGTGGCCCGCGCGGGTCGTAGGCGTCGGGCACCTCGTGGCAAAGAGAACGCTTGCGCGGGGCCCGTACGGGGGCAGCTTCGAACGTAGAACGTCGTACTACTTCTTACCTCCATCTCCTCCTCCTCCTCCTCCCTCTCCTCCTCCTTCCTCCTTCCTCCTTCCTCCTTCCTCCTCCTCCTCGCGCGAACGAACCTACTTCTTAACGTCGTTTGAGCACGCGTGCGAATGCCTGCTGCCCTTGGCAACGCCACCTTGCTATCCAGTTTGCGCCTCGCTGGCTATGGCCCCCCCGCCCTGTGCCTCGAGGTTTCTCACTCGCGGTCGTGTCCCGAGACGTCCGTCGAGGAGTCGAAGGAGCAGAGGAGAGCGAGTGAAACGGGAACACGGAGCACGACGACCAGGCTAGCGACCAGAGATGCACGAAGGCGAGAAGGAGAGAGACGTATGTGGCGAGGACGAAGCAATGACAAACACCGCGTGTCGGGCAAGCTGTGCAAACGCAGTGGGTGAAGCGCGGGTAGCACAAGTGAGGCGCGCCGAGAAGGCTTGTGAGGCTTGGTCCTCGTCGAGCACGTCCTGATTCGTCTCCTGCGGACTGCAGGCGCATGCGAAGGACCGCTTCCTCACATGCGTGCTAAACCTGCATACCCATGAGACATCGGACTCTTGACCCCCTTTTCTCTCACTCCCTCTCTGCTTCTCTCCTTCCCTGCCTCTCTCTCTCTCTCTCTCTCTCCCTTTCTCTTTCTCTCTTTGTGTGCTCGTCCTCCCCTCTCTCTCTCTCTCTATTTTCCCATCTCTCCATACGTTCGTCGCTCTCTGTCTTCCTCTCTTGTTTTTTTTGTTGTTGTTTTTTTTTTTTCTCTCTCTCTCTCTCTCTGCGCACCGCTTGACGCGCAGCAGCGTCGAAGCCTCGGAGCGTGCCGACGCTAGCAGCAAGGCCCAAGGCGGCTCTCGCGCCCGCCCCGCTCGGACCACGCAGCGCCCCGCCGACGAGGTCCCTTTGGGGCCTCACCCTGAGGCCGAGCGCCCCCTGCCCAGCCCCCAGGAGAGCCCAGACTCGAATCGACAAGTCGAATCGGCGATCGAAATGAATTGGATCGGCGGAAATCGGCAGCCAAGCCGGGAGAAGTCGAATCGGCAGAAATCGGCAGGCTAGTAGGCCTCCATTGAAGAATCGGAATCCAAATCGGAATCCGAAGTCGAATCGAATCGGAATCGGAAGCCATCGAAATCGAATCGAATCGAATCGAATCGGAGGAGTCGAAATGAGCCCAGCCCCCCCCCCCGCGGAAGTCTGCTGGAGGCCTGGAAATTGGCACCAACACCAGCACAGGGGGTTGCCTCCACATGGGGAAGCTGATCCCCGATTTCGGTGTTGGTGGTAATTGTTCGGTCACCTTGGAAGCCAGAATATGACCACCATCGCCGAGATTGGGATCGACTTCCCTCGGAGGAGGCACACCGCCGATCTTGGTGTTGGTGTCAACCTCTGGGCCTGCGAGTCTGGGCCCGTGTCCGTGCCCCGGGGCCGACGCCGCGCGGAACCGCACCCCGAGCCCGACACTTCCGCGGAGGACCGCTCCCCCCGCTCTTGCCGTCGCTCGGACGTCCATGTCCCGTGCATGTTTCGGTATCGTCCGTGCTTTCTTTGCTCGATGGTCCAGGATGATCCTCGATGGCCCTCGCCGAGAAAAAATGCACACGTCCGACCGCTCCCCCCAGCTGGGGCGGCGTGCGCCTCGCCGTGGGACCCTGCGCTGGGGCCGTGCCCAGACGCCGACGCCCCCGGCGCAGCCCTAAGGAGAGAGGACTGCGCCGCACTGCCCGGGCCCTGGAGCTGCTCCACGACCGAGGGCTCCCAGCTTCGCGCTTCGCGCTCCGCGAAGCGCGAATCACTTCGCGCTCTCGCGCCGCCCCCCCAGAGGGAGAAAAGGAGGACGAGGAGGAGGGGGAGAGGGAACGAGAACCGCGAAGCGCGAATAACTTCGCGCCCTCGTGGCTGACAGCCGGGCGCAGCTCGTCGAGCGGGCTCGCGGCCCAGCGCACCCCCTCGCAGGAGCGAGGGGGTGCGCTGAGCCGCGCGAGGCGACGTGCGCGCTCCGCCTCCCCCCCTCCCTGCAACTCTTGGCCCGCAGCGGGGCCGCAGCATTAAGTCGGGCCTGTCCCCCTACAGGGGGATTTCCGACGACAATTTTGAAAGCTACCCTAAAAGTTTTTAAACATAAGCGCGCCATTTTTCTCCCAGTAGAAACGGCCATAAAACCCATACCGAAACGTACTTGATTTTGAGGAGGAGGCGGCGGAGGAGGAGGGGAACCGCGCCATGTGTTTACAAAAAGCACGGCCTTGAGGCCTGGACCGAGACGTGTTTGATCACGTTTCTCGTCGCAGTGTTGACCCGTGGATGTCTCGACCCATTTCTGGGTAGTTATTCGACAGTGCTGGGCCCAGGCGAGGGCCCACAAAAGGCCGAAAACAATAAACCTTCCAGTCGTTTTCGTGCCACGGCGCAGGAGGGCCCAGACCTTTTCGGACCGATGCCATCCATGTTAACAGGAACTTCGCACGGGGGACACGGGTCCTGTGGGAGACGCATGCTGTACCCCGGGGCCTTCCCCATGACCAGTCTTATGTCGGGCGCGTCCCCCTACAGGGGGAATTTCGACGACAAATAAACAATATCCCAAACATGCCCCAAAAAGGTCAAAACATACTCGAAACAAATCCCAATACTATTTTGGGACTATTGTTTGAATATTTTGATAATTTCTTATTTCTCGTCGAACATTCCCCTCGAGGGGGCCAGGCACGACTTACGGCCCGTCCTTCACCCCGAGCCGCTTCCTGACGGCCCCCGGGCCCGCGGAGGGCCCCGGGAGCCCGAGAGCGACGGAGAGCCTCACGACCCGTTGCCCTCGGGACCCGATCTCCCCCACGGCGAGGGGAAGGGAGGAAGAGGGGAAGGGCGAGGGGGGGGGGGAGGAGGAGGAGGAGGTGGCGGAGGAGGACGAGCAGGAGGAGGAGGAGGAGTAGGAGGGGGTGGCGGAGGAGAACGAGCAGGAGGAGGAGGAGGACGAGCAGGAGGAGGTGGTGGTGGTACTCAGCATCTGGTCGAGTCTGCAATGCTTATCCGATTACACATGACCGCTGTGCGCATTATGAGGCCATGTCCCCTCGCGAAACTTGAAAGTCGGCACTCCCGTCGCGACTAGATTTCTAATCAGGGAACACCATAGAAACCGTTAGGGTCGAGAAGCCTAACGGAAACATCCCGAACGGCGCACCTCGGCACCAGATCCCGAGAGTGAGAAGGCAAGCGTCTCTACTCGCACACGCACACACACAGCACAGGAGCGGGGGGAGAGGGAAGGAGAGACACACGAGGAAACACCACCACAGGAGGACGGAGGCGAGAGGGAACAGGAAGGAGAAAGCAGGCGGGAAACGTCACATTCAGTCAAGTTGAGGCCCCAGCACTTAAGTCTGACCTCTGCCTCGACCAGCACCTTTGCCTTTCCTAGGTTTACGCTTGGGCATGCTCTGCGGGGGAGTCCAGGAGCCCGAAAATTGAACTCTCCCCCGCTCTGAAACGCACTGTCTGGGTCCCCCAGCTCCAAAAGTGTTCACGGACGCCGCAAGATTATTACTGCTGCTACTCACACTGTGATGACCTGAGCCCGCAGCCTGAATCTCGCCAGCACCCTCCATCTGAGAACCTCCAGGGCCTGAGACTAGAACATCATCCGCTACCACCACTTGTGCTTGCCCCTCCTCAACATTTTCTGCAGGGAATTCTGAATCTTGCGCTCGGGCCCTCCCTTGGGTGGCGGGCCTGCGCTGCAACCTGCCGCAGAGGGCGGCGAAGAGCAGGACACGACCGCGAGGCGCGCCCCCGCGCGCGCCAGCGGCAGCCACCGGGCCGCTCGCAGGCGGGCGCCGGCGGCGCTCGCTCGCCCCGCCCCGCGCTGGCCGCTGGCCGCGGGCCGTCGCCGGCGTCGGCCGTCGCCCGTCGTCGCTGAAGGGGCCCTGGGACACACAAAAATAAATACACAGACATAGCAGGATTCCCCTTTATTTTTCAATTTTTTTCCAGCAGCAGCAAAGCAAGGCAGGAGGGAGAATCCGCTGCCCCTCAAGGGGGCTATCCCGCAACACGGACAAGGATGACGACGAACTAGGCTAATGCAGAAATATCGCCGAGACCGTGCAGCAACCCTGCTCGACAGGATTCCCCATATTTTCCCATCTCTTGTCTTCCCCCCACTCCCCATATGTTCCCATCTTTTCTGGGGAATCGACGATTCATTGTGTCTGTGCTTTTTCTGTTTTCCTCCTGACCGTCGTCGTCGCTCGTCGTCTTGCCGCCGGTCGGTGCTTTGCCAGCGGCGTCGGTCGTAGGCCCTCGTTGGCCGGCGGCGCGCGGGAGGGGGGCAGGCGGGTGGGTGGGGGAAGGCTTCTTGGAAGGAGGCTGCTACTCTGAAGGCGCGGGCCCTACATCGGTAGACAGGGCCCCGCGCCTTCTAAGAGGCAGGGGTGCTTCTAAGAAGCCTTCAACCTCCCCCCTGCCCCCCTCTGCGCGTGGCCGGAGCGGCGTTGGTCGTCGGCCCTCGGCTGTTGCTCGTCGTCGCTCTTCGTCTCGCCGTCCGTCGTCGTCGCTTTGCCAGCGGCGCCGGTCGCCACCAGACATGCGACGCTGTTTTCCAGTGCGCGGCCTCAGAGGTCCCGACCCCTCCCCCAGGGGCCCAGATCGATTCTTGATGGCCCTGGGGCCCCCTAAAAACGGCACCGGAAGCTGAGATCAGGCAAACACGACGTCGGCCCCGGAGATCTGAGATCCGACGTTACAAACAAACATGCAACGTCGCGACAACTCTAGACCGGGGCCCCCAAACCCATATCTCTGCGTCCTCGATCCGTGATGGTCCCAGGACCCGCAACCAGGCGAAATCGCCCGTTGTAGAAAAGATGCGACGCCAGCGTCTCGTCGTCGTCGTTCGCCGGATATCTTCGGCGGCGGCGGCGGCATCGCTCGTCGGCCGTCGGCCTTCGCTCGTCGTCATGGCATGACGAGGACGGCTCCTGAGTGAAAATCTTTCCCCCAGGACCAGATTGACATCCTGAACCCTTTTCTGAACAGTACCCGTTTCCATCAGGGCCCGCTTCCCCCACGGCGAGGGTAAAGGCCGAGGGGGGGGGGACGAGGAGGAAAAGGAGAAAGAGGAGGAGGAGGCGGAGGAGCCGGAGGAGGACGAGGAGGAGGAGGAGGCGGAGGTGGAGGAGGAGGAGGAGGAGGGGGGAGGAGGAGGAGGAGGAGGAGGAGGAGGAGGAGGAGGAGGAGGAGGAGGAGGAGGAGGAGGAGGAGGAGGAGAGGAGGCGGAGGAGGCGGAGGAGGAGGAGGAGGAGGGGGAGGAGGGGGAGGAGGAGGAGGAGGAGGAGGGAGGCGGAGGAGGAGAAGGAGGAGGAGGAGGAGGAGGAGGAGGCGGAGGAGGCGGAGGAGGAGGGGGAGGAGGGGGAGGAGGAGGAGGAGGAGGTGGTGGAGGAGGAGGAGGAGGAGGAGGAGGAGGAGGAGGAGGCGGAGGAGGAGAAGGAGGAGGAGGAGGATGAGGAGGAGGCGGAGGAGGCGGAGGAGGAGGGGGAGGAGGGGGAGGAGGAGGAGGAGGAGGAGGAGGAGGAGGAGGAGGAGGAGGAGGAGGAGGAGGAGGAGGAGGCGGAGGAGGCGGAGGAGGAGAAGGAGGAAGAGGAGGAGGAGGCGGAGGAGAACGAAGATCGGTTGGGAGAGGGTTGAGCAGCTGCTGCAGGGGGCGGCGGCGGCCACGAGGCGCCGAGAGAGAGGGGCCGGGCGGCGTCCTCCGCGCGGTCGAGGGGCGGCGGCTTCCAGGCCCTGGCCTGCATGCGCCTCGCCTGGGCGGGGGGCGGGGGCTACCGGGGATGGACAGACCCCCCTTTAGTACAACGTGGTTTAGTGAAAACGACCTCCGGCCCAAACCTGGAGGGCGCAAGCCTGGAAAATGACGGCCGCGGCGCCCTCTCGAGAACCGAACACGGGCAATTCACTAATCGACGTGTCAGGGTAGGAGGTCTGTCCACCCCCGATCCTAGGCCAGGAGGCTTCTGAAAAGGCTGTTGAGAAGCCTCCAGGGCAATCGCAGGAAGCCCCTGCCGTCGCCTCTTAAGGCGCCCTCCGCCTTCTCAGGAGGCCACCCGAGGGTAGTTTTTCGTACCAGATCCATGCTCGATGGATCTGGGGCCCGAGAACCGACCAGCCCTAGAAGCCGACATCGAAGGGAAAACGCCAGGATTGACCAAATCATGTCGTCAGAAATCTGGGTCCTCACGCGCCCCCGTTAGTCTTCGCCCCCTCCGGGACGCCTCCGACTGGACCCTCGACCCCCCCACTGATGGGGAATGATCAGGGTGGACTGGCTCATTGGGGCAAACATCGACTTGGAATCGGCGATTCGCGGTCGATGCGTGCCCCCCTGAGCCTGACCCCCCCCCGTTGCCACTGAGGGGGGGGAGAGCGGAGGGCCAGAAGGGGTGCCAATACCTGCGCGCGTCCACCGGTCCCTGGCCGGGCGGTTGGCGCAGAGTCCTACAGCCATCGCACTGCAAGACGGAGTAAACCTCCAAGATCGACCTCTGGCACCCCAAGAGACTCTCCAAAAGGCTCCACGACGGCCTCCAGGCGCCCCACGAAGGCCAGAAACCATAGCATAGGCCAGGGGGAACGGCAGGACGGTCCTAAGAGGGCTCCGAAACGTGTCTAGGGGGGCCTCACTGGCTGTCCAGACAGGCCACGCGGGGGACAATTGCTGCCGCCCCAATGGGTGTGGCGTAGGCCAATGACTAAGGAACGAGAGGACTTCTCTGGGACGGTGAACCTCGCCGCTCCGACCTAGATCTAAGGAGTGGTCCGAGGACTGGAACCCTCCTGGGCACGACATGGCTCTTGTTCCAGCGTCTTGAGAAGGAGGGGGAGAAAGACCCCCGCCTCCTCCCGTTGCGAAACGAATCACGGCTGATTTGTACAAGTTCCGGCCCCTGGGGACCCTCAGCGGTCCCGTGGACCGTCTAAAACGACACGGGATAAAGCGCGGGTCCCTGGGAAAGGGGCCATGACTCTTGGGGTCCAGACCTCCCAGAACCCGCCAATGCTCCCTCCGAGAGCCAGGACACGTCCTCGTATGCCCCCTCTCCTGGACACCCGCCGATCTGACTACCTTACTCCGCGGCCCCAATGGCCCCGACAACTCCCCACGGGAAGTTCTTGCACGACGACATGGGATCAATTACCACTCGCCATCGCTCGGACGCCCATTCCGCGTGCGCTCTTCAGTCTCGTGCGTGTTTTTTCGCCAAATGATCAGGGATGCTCCTCGATTGTCCTCGCCGAAGGAAAAATGCACACGTCCGAGCGATGCCGAGGGAAGTTCTCGCACGACGACAGGGGAGCAAGTGACAACACATGTTTGTTTGCGTTCAGCAAAGTTAAATCGCTTTATATCCGTAGTCCTAAATGTCGTTTTGTTGTTTTGAAGGGGCCCTGGGACACACACACATACATACACACAAATTACCCCAGTGCGACCCTACCTAGAAGTTGGACCCCCTAGGAACGCAGCATTAGATGCTATGCTGTGTTGTGCTCTGTTCTGCTCTGCCCTGCTATGCTATGCTGTGCTGTGCTATGCTGTGCTGTGTTGTGCTGCGCACTGCTATGCTATGCTATGCTATGCTGCGCTATGCTATGCTGGGCTATGCTATGATCTGCTGTGCTGCGCCATGCTATGCTACGCTATGCTATGCTGTGCTCTGCTATGCTAAAGCTCAGCGAAGCTAAGATGAAGGTAAGCTAAGCTAAGATAAACCTGAGCTAAGATGAAGCTAAGCTAAGCTAAGCTAAGATGAAATAAGCTAAGCTAAGATGAGATACGCGACGCTAAGCTAAGGGGACGCAACTGGGGGAACCGCGGGGCGGATCCTGGGGGAACCGCCCGGGGCGAGCCCCACTGCCGGCCCCTTTAAGCAAACACAGTAAGAACCCTTCTAGGCAGAGCCTAGGTAGGGAATAAAAGGATTCCCCATATGTTCCTATATTTTCTGGGTGTCTGTCTTCCCCCCCACTGCCCATCTTTTCCCATATTTTCTTTGGAGTCGACGAATAATGGTGTCTGTGTGTTTTTTCCCTCCTGATATTTTTCATACTCTATTTTTGGCTCTAAGCAGCGTAATACACCTTTTTTTGTAAATGTTGAAAGCCAAAGCTCCGGGATGACGACCCGCTGCAGATTGTTAGCATCACACTGTGGGAGCCGCCTGCCGCCCCCCGCGCAGCACCGACGCCCCGCGCGGCACGGCGCGCGGCCCGAGAACGGGCCGTGCAGTGAGATGTGCTCGTCGCCGCGGAGCGTAATTACAGTCGCCCTCGATCGGACAGGGCACGCGAGAGGACACAAGACTCGCCATCGCTCGGACGTCCATTCCGTGTGTCTTTTTAGGTTTCGTGCGTGGCTTTTTCGCCAAATGATCAAGGATGCTCCTCGATGATCCTCGCCGAAGGATGCACACGTCCGAGCGATGCCGAGAAGATCGTCGGTGGACAAACCTCCCTTTGATAAACCTCCCCTTAGCGAAACGCGCCTGCGACCGAACCCGACGGACCTGGACCCCCAAAAATGACGGCCGCGACGCCCTCTCGCGAACCGAAAACGGCCCATTCCTGAATCGACGTGTCAGAGTAGGAGGTCTATCCACCTCCGACAAGACATTTCCGAGAGCCACATCGCCACGGGAGTGTAAATAGGCACGTGTTGCGATGCACAGGACACGAAGGCACCCTTGAGCTGGCAGGGTCGACCTGCCAATCCGGGCCGACCGTAGTAAATTGGGGGCGATAAGAGAGGGGGGAGAAACGTGCACCTCTCGTACCCCCCTTTGGGCCCCAGGGGGCCCAATTAGGGCTCCAGTGGGCACGAAGACGGCATCTTTGCTCACCCCCCCTTTCAATACCCTTGATTTGGCAGGGTCGACCTGCTAATCCGGGCCGACTGTATCCGCAGTCTTGCCCAGCAGCTGGTGCGTGCACGGTGCTGCACTCGAGCGCCCGCGTGCAGACGCGCGCGTGGCCTATAGGGGGACCGGGGGAGGAGGGGAGGCTTTCGGAGGAGCGAACGACAGGAGGAGGCTTTCCAGAAGGAGGGGAGACTTTCCGAGGAGGGGAGGCTTTCCGAGGGGAGGAGGGGAGGACTTCCCGAAGGATGACCCTGGAATGAAAGCGGAAAGCTGGTCAATGCAGAGATCCTCCCCTCAGCCGAACTCTTCGAAGTCGCCGAACAAGTCGGAGTCTGCTGGCGGTCGGACACCGTACCAATGATCATGGCAATTGCGTCATGGATCCACGTTTGTGAAGGGGCCCTGGGACACAAAAGTAAATACACACAAATAAAACTATTCCCCATATTTTCCAATATTTTCTGGGTTTTCGCCTTCCCCCCCCACTTCCCATATTTTCCCATATTTTCGGGGAATCCACGATTAATTGTGTCTGTGTTTTTTTCCCTCCAGAATTTGATACTCCCGGGCCCCGACAACCGACCCCAGAGGCCGAAATCGAAGCGAGCACCCCAATATCGAACACATCATGTCGTCGAAGCTCTGGGTTCTCGCACGCCCCCGTCGGCCCTCGCCCCCCTCCTGGACGCCCCCGACTCTACCCTCGACCCCCCCCTGACTCGCCATCGATCGAACGTCCATTACCCGTGCATTTTTCGATCTCGTGCGTGTATTTTTCGCTAAATCGTCAAAGAAGCTCCTCGATGGTCCTCGCCGGGAAAAAATGGCACACGTCCGAGCGACGCCAAGCTGAGGGGCAACGATTGGGGGGGCTGGCTGAGGACGTCGACCTGGAGACGGCGCCACATCGCCGCCGCCCCTGGCGCGCTCCGCGCGCCAGGGAGGGGGGTCCAGCATCCGCGCGGAGGCCAAAGGTTTATGTTTATATAGCGTTTTTTTTCTTCGAGAGCCGCGGGAGCAAGACGTTGCCGCCTCCGCCGGCGACACGTCGACAACGGGCCCCCGACAGCGAAGCCCGCACGTTGCCTGGCGGGGTGGGCCATCGGGCCCCCCTCGGCGATGAATGGGCGGCGATGAATGGGCGATGAATGATCGGAGGCGGGCCCTTGGGGGGAAGTCCCAGGGGGCGGGCCTCCTCCGAGGCCTTCTCTGAAGGGGCCCTGGGACGCACAAATATAGACACACAAACAACAGGATCCTCCATATGTTCAAAGATTTTTGTAAGTTTTTGTCTTCCCCCCCACTTCCCATATTTTCGCATATGTTCCTGGGATTCGGCGATTCATTGTGTCTGTGTGTGTTTTCCCTCCTGATTCTCCGAGGACAGCATGCGGATTTCTAGAGGAATCTTGTGGCTTTCCGATGGGATCCTATGGAGTTCCGAGGGAATCCTACATGCTTCCTAAGAGGACTCCTACGGGGTTCCTCGGGAAGCCGATGGATTCCAGAAGGAACCCTATGGATTTCCCTAGAAATCTTGTGCATTTCCTGAGGCGTCGACGGCTTCTCAGAAGGCCGTGGGGCTTCTGAGAAGCCCCGCCGCCTCCAGAGAGGGCCTGCCCCCCCCCTCTCACTCCCCCCCAACCGGCGCGCAGCCGACCCTGAGCCTACCTACCCTCCCCCCTGACGCTGCCCTTGACTCATGGACGCACCCGATCCCACCCTCGACCCTCTTGCCGTCGCTCGGACGTCCATTTCCCGTGCATTTTTGGCTTCGTGCGTGCTTTTTGCGGCTCGATGGTCCAGGATGCTCCTCCAGGGTCCTCGCCGAGCAAAAATATACAGGTCCGAACGATGCCAGGCCTTTGGGCGTTGATGAATTAATTGGGGGCGATGAGGGGGGGGGGGAGAAACGTGAACCTTTCGCACCCCTTTGGGCCGCAGGGGGCCCAGTTAGGGCTCCAGTGGGCACGAAGACGGCATCTTTGCTCTCCCTTCCCTTTCAATACCCCGGGCGTCACGATTGGTTCGCAACGTCGACCCCCAGAGATCTCGATCCATTCCCCGGGACTGGATTTTCATCCTGCGACGTCTCCTGGTGGACCCGAGTCCCTGTAAGGGCCTCCGCAGGCCGAAGACAGCGAGACACCGCCCGTCGTGTTTTTTTCATGACTCGAGGGCTCTGGGCCTGTCGCCCCCCCCAATGCGCAACGCAGGGGGATCTGCTCCCCGCCGTTAGGGCGGACCCTCCGTTACGTGAGCCTCGACCAACCCCTCCTCGACCCTCCCATTCATCGGGGATGGGACAGAAGCCCCTTTAGTACAACGTGGTTTCTTGAAAACGACCTCGGGCCCAAACCTGGCGGGCGCAAGCCTGGAGAATAACGGCCGCGGCGCCCTCTCGAGAACGGAAAACGGACAGTTCACTAACCGACGTGTCAGGGTGGGGGTTCTGCCCACCCCCGAATTTATCACCCCCCCATTGCGCAACGTCCGAGACCCCTCCCCCCCTGCTGGGGGATGGGCGCCTCCCTCGGGCCAAACTTCGAGGGCCTCCGCCGCGGCGGCTCGTCCTCGCGAGGGCGGCCGGGCGCGCCCTGCTGCGGTGGCGATCGACGGACGACGGCTGACGACGACGATCGACGACGATCAACGACGGTCAACGACGATCGGCGGCGAGCGACGACGACGGACAACGCTCGACGACGATCGACGGCGAAGATGACAGCAACGGCGACGAACGACGACTGTCGGCAGACGACGACGACGACGACGACGACGACGACGACGACGAGCGGCGACGAAGACTACTGACGACGAGCGACGGCGACGCGCGACAACGAGCTACGACGACGACGGACGACGACAAAGAGCGACGCATTTCGCAGCTCGAGCTTTGGACGTTTTCTGGCCTATTTGGTACCTCTTGGAGACCTCTCGTGTACACGGCCAAATTCGCCTCGAACTCCTGGTCAGAATGGACGCCGGGAGGGTGTCGGGGGTCGGTTGTGAGCGGATCTCGACGACGACGACGGACGACGGGCGACAACGACGCACGACGAATGACGAACGATGGCGGGCGACGGACGACGGCGACGACGACGGACGACGAGAATGACGAACGATAGACGCCGACGAACGATAGACGACGACGAACGACGGCAACGGCCCCCCCTCGGCGGCGCGCACAAGAGGGTAGGGGAGGGGGAAGGCTGCTGCTTCTTAGAGGCGCGGGCCCACCCGCGCATTCTGAGAAGCAACCTCCTTCAAAGAAGCCTTCCCCTCTACCCTCCTCTGCGCGTGGCTGGCTCCCGTGCACGCTGTCAGGTCGCCCGCGCGCATCGAGGAGGGCGGGCGCGGAGGCGGGCCAGAGGGGGTGGGATGCAGCGTTTGGCGGCGCGCACAAGGGGGTATGGGCAGGGGGGAGGCTTCTCAGGAGGAGCCCGCTTCTCAGAAGGCGCTGGCCCTCTATCTGCAGACCAGGCCCGCGCCTCTTGAGAGGCTGGCGCGCTCCTGAGCAGCCTTCGCCCCTGCCCCCCTGCCCCCCTTCTGCTTGCCGTCGCTCGGACGTCCGTTTCCCGTGCATGTTTCGGTTTCGTGCGTGTTTTTTTTTGCTCGATGGTCCAGGCTGCTCGCTCCTCCAGGGTCGTCGCCGAGGAAAAAATCTAGGGCTCCCAACTTCGCGCTCTCGCGCTGCGCGAAGCGCGAATGACTTCGCGCCCTCGCGCCGCCCCCCCCAAGGGAGAAAGGGAGGACGAGCAGGAGGGGTGGAAGGAACGAGGACCGCGGAGCGCGAATAACTTCGCGCCCTCGTGGGAGCCCTAGTCAGGGGGGGGAAAAAACCACACAGACACAATTAATCGTCGATTCCCCAGAAAATATAGCAAAATATGGAAAGTTGTGGGGAAGACAGAAACCCAGAAACAATTCGAAAATATGGGACATAGTTTTATTTGTGTGTATTTATTTGTGTCCCTGGGCCCCTTCACCTTGCTCCTCCCAAGGTCCTCGCCGCGAAAAAAAAAGTGCACACGCCCGAGCGCTGCCGGGCCTTCGCGTGGCCGCCGCGAAGGCGGCGGGGCGAGGAGGCGTCCAGGAGGGCGCGCGGCCGGGCCGAGCTGCCCCGCGGCCGAGGCAGGGGGCGGCAGGGGCGGGCAGGGATGCCACTGGTATTAAGTCGGGCCTGTCCCCCTACAGGGGGATTGTCGACGAGAAATAACAAATACCCCAAACACACCCCAAGAAGGTCAAACAATACTTTAAAAACATATCCCCAGACAATTGTTGGATTTTTTTTTACTATGTTTGGGGTACTCTTCATGTGTCGTCGAACATCCCCCTGTAGGGGGACACGCCCGACCTAACACTGGTGGGGAGGTGCGCCGACCACGGCCGGGCTGAGCCTGGGCCCAGGATCGGCGTCCACGCCTCCATGGCCAAGCCAGGACTCGCCATCGCTCGGACGTCCATTCCGTGTGCTTTTTTCAGTTTCGTGCGTGGTTTTTTCGCCAGATGATCAAGGATGCTCCTCGATGGTCCTCGCCGAAAGAAAAATGCACACGTCCGAGCGATGCCGAGAGGAAGGCGTGTGCTCACACGCGGCTCCAGCCCCCTCATCTGTGGGGATGCCGGCCACCCTGCCGCCTTGGGGGGTACACTCCTTCTGGGTCCTGCTTCGTACGGCACGTTGCGATGTTGTTGAGATGTGGACGTTTAGGTCATCCTTCTTCACTATTGCCCCCCCCCCCACCCTTCCTACAACGTTTGTCGCAATAGAAGAGGTCACACGCACGATTTGTCCAAGTTCGCCACTGTGCAACTACTTTTTCCGCATCCATGATGTCACCATTGTGGTGCGCCGCGGGAACACTCCCTCTCTCTTCTGGTTTGCTTCGGGTGTCCCGTGAAGGACGCTCACGACAACAGGGACAGTCACGACGGTTCCCTCGACGTCCCAATCATGCACACTTTCACGAGCCGATCCTCTTGAGCCGTGTGATGTCACCAACTCGCGTGCGTGAGAATGCGCACGTCAAGACGGCTGGTCGCGTGGCGAATGGCCACCCTCCTCTAGAAGCCAGCACCTTGCCGTCGCTCGGACGCCCATTTCCCGTGCATGTGTCGGTGTCGTGCGTGCTTTTTTTTGTTGCTCGATGGTCCAGGATGCTCCTCAAGGGTCCTCGCCGAGAAAAAGATGCACACGTCTCAGCGATGCCAGGACACAGGACCAACCTGGGGTGCACTGCGCCTCGGGATTCACACCTCGCGGTGGCAGGACGACAGACCGCTGGTTTAGTTCGCCGTGTACGGCCAACCAAACGAAGGGCCCCCTCCGAGCATCCAGACTGACGCCTGGGAAAAGAGCGGCCGGCAACCTGTGCTGGCCTGCTGGCGCGCCTGCGCTGCATCCCTCTCCGACGCGGCGTCCACCGCGCGCCACAGGTGCAGTGAGAAGGCACGCGGAACGGGGTGAAGACGGGTCACGGCTGCTTCAGGCAACACCTGGGCGAAATCCGCCGAGAAATCTCGTCACCGGCGGCTGCCGCCGTGAAATCGGGGCACGGGGGGGGAGTGGACAGAGCCCGCCTGCTCGCTGGATCTGGACACCAAGGCTCCTCAGTCCTGTTCCTCCTTCCCCCTCCCCTCTCCTCCTCGTTCTCGCCCTCCCGCACCTGCTCTGAACCCTTCTCCAGCACATCAATCCAAGGCAGATCCATCCGAGCAAGCGCACTGTCGAACAAAAGAGGGCGCCTCAAACTCCAATCTGAGAACGAGCTGCCTTCCCAAAGGCATAGATATGGCCTGGAGGAAGAGGGCTGGGATACCAACACTTACCGCCTGCCTCCTCCCTCCCAGACCCCCGACGTCATGATCTGCTCATAACGTCGACCCCCAGAGGTCTCGACCCATTCCTCGGGACCGATTTTTCATCCTGAGTGGTGCTCTGACGGTCGCGAGGCCTGGTAGTAACCCGAGGAGACCGAACATAGCGAAAACCCGCTTTGTCACGACTCGAGGGGCTCCGGGCTCCATCACGACTCGGGTCCTGGGCTCCACTCGTCCTCCCTGGCAATCGCTCGGACGTCCATTCCCTGTGCTTTTTCCGGTTTCGTGCGTAGTTTTTTCGCCAGATGATCAAGGATGCTCCTCGATGGACCTCGCCGAGGAAAAACCGCACACGTCCGAGCGATGCCAAGGGTCTGGGCTCCACTCGTCCTCCTGCCCGTGGGCGGCGGCCAGTCCAGGGAGGTCAGGCTCGACGTCGACAGCGCGTGCGTCATGGGCGCGCACTGCGTGGGCTCCTCCGCCGCGTCGTGCTCTGGCCAGGCCTCTTGGCAGCAGGGACCGCTCGGCGGCTGCGCAGCGAGCGGCACGCTCGCCATCGCTCGGACCTCCATTCCCTGTGTTTTTTTTCGGTTTCTTGCGTGGTTTTTCTCGCCAAATGGTCAAGGATGCTCCTCGACGGTCCTCGCCGAAGGGAAAGTGCACACGTCCGAGCGATGCCAAGCACGCCTGGGTGACGGCCCGCACCCAGCTTCTTTCAGGTGGACGTCTCCCGACGAACCCAGGCCCCTTCGAATTGTGAACAAATCACGACGGGACGTTTTCGGCTATTTTCCGCCTCCGGAGGCCCTTGCGGGACCCCGGGGCCGTAACAAAAACGACGGGAGGGGGTCCAGACCTCTGGGGGTCGACGTTGTGAAAAGATCACGACGTCGGGGGTCTGGGAAGTGAGCTGGAACAAATTCGCCTGGAAGTTCTGTGAAGGTGTGGACGGGCATAGCTATCAAACTGGCTGGGCCTGGAATGGGCCTGGGACAGACGGACACACCAGCTCAGGAGGGCCATCGTTGCCAATCGTGAGTCAGGAGGTCGCTGGCGGGTTGCGTCCTCCTCCGCTGAAAAGGAACTGTAGAAAAAGACGTGCAAAACACGATCAGCTCCCTCCTGCAGCCTGCTCTTCCACTCGTATGTCCTGGGAGGGCCAGGGGGCAGGATACGGTCCTTGTTTTGTTGACCTTTCGCCCCAGGCAGAAAACGAAAGGCAGCATCCGTCCTGGGATCGTATATCCTGGGAGGGCCAGGGGGCAGGATACGGTCCTTGCTTTGTTGACCCTTCGCCCCAGACAGAAAACGAAAGGCAGCATCCGTCCTGGGAGGGGCTCGACGTCGATGGCCCGCATCTCGGACTTCCTGCTGTTGCCTCCCAGCCGTGTCCCTTCTGGCGCGCGGCTCGAAGCGCCTCCCCGTTTTTCGGGACGGAGAAGGGGAGGAGGGAGGGGGGAGGAGGAAGAGGAGGGAAGACAGGGGAAAAAGAGAGAGGAGGGAGAGAAGGAGAGAGAAAGAGAGAGAGAGAGAGAGAAGGGGAGGAGGAGGAGGAGGAGGAGGAGGAGGAGGAGGAGGAGGAGGAGGAGGAGCGCAGTCGACCCGATGCAAGAACTTGTTTTGCAAGGCCAGGACATTCCCTCGGACCAGGCCGCTTGGTGTTAGCTCGCGCGCGTGCCGTGCGTATCGCGTTTCACGAGTCAAGTGCAACCATAACATAAAGCATATTCGCAACCCCAATCGACAGAGGTGAAGGCCAACAGAGATACGAAGAGGAGAAGGAGGAGAGGCGCGTGTTCTCTTGAGCCGCGCCGGCACAGTCAGTGCACCCGCGACCCATCAAGACTCCCGCCGTGAGAATACGAGCAGGCGACAAGGGGGCACAGAGAGAACAGACCAGAGCAACGCGATAGTGAGCAACGTGTCCGGGTACGACCCCGTCTGCTCACTGCCCATCCCTCCCTCTCCCCCTTCGCCTCCCGCTGGCTCTCACCCGCCCCCTCCCTCTCCTCACTCCTCCTCCTCCTCGTCCTTGCCCTCCTCCCTCTCCTTCTCCTCCTCCTCCTTCTCATTCCTCCTCCTCCTCGTCCTTGCCCTCTTGCTCCTCTGCGACCCTGGCCAGGGCCTCAGCGCGGCGAGATAGCTCACCGACCCTATACATGTGGATGCCATGACAATGGACACTCTAGCAATCCTATCTTTGAATTACAAGTGTGTTTAAACTGTGTAAAACGTGTTCTAAAGGTGTTACAAACATGGGTTTTAACACATTTAGAACCTGTTTGGAACATTTGTTAGACATCTGGCACTTATTTGGCAGCATGCTTCCTCTCGATTGATGGACTTCCACAGCCCTATACCATTACGGCCCCATGTGGCGCTTGGGCGGCCCGAACCCCAAGAGGCCTCCGCCCTCCCGCCTGCCCTCACGAACTCGGCGGCGCGAGGGGGGGAGCGGACACCTCCATAGAGCGGGAGGCCGGGAGCACTCCAGCGCACTCCACAGCGCTCCGGAACGACTCGTCCCTCGCGCCTCCCCCGAGTCGGCGACGCCAGAACGGAGAAGACCGGGCTCCGAATCGAGCGCCGGCGCCGACGCATCGGCGGGGTGTCTCTGGCAGTCCTTGGGCTCCGATGGCGTGGCCTCCACTTGCCGTGGTCGTAGCGGTGGCCCCCCCGTGGCCTCCATGGCCCTTCCTGGCCATCGCTCGGACGTCCATCCCTGTGCTTTTTTCGGTTTCGTGCGTGGCTTTTTCGCCAAATGATAAAGGATGCTCCTCGATGGCCCTCGCCGAAGGAAAAATGCACATGTCCGAGCGATGCCAAGCCTCCCTTCTGGGCTGCGGAGCCCACCCCTGGCCTCCCTGGCCCTCCCCCCCCCTCCCCTTGCCCGCTGAGGGGGAGCGCCACTGGCTGCGGGAGCGAAGGGGTCAGCGCATCAGCGGCAGCAACTACAGTCAAAGCGTATAGTAAGGACGCAAGACCCTTGTAGGCCGAAGTTGGGATTTTTTGGGCGGCGGGCGAGCAGTGAAAACGGCATAGGACGGGCCGCAGAGGCAAGGGCGCAAGGGTACCCTGGATGAAGGCGCGCGTCCTTACTAGGCGCGTTGACTGTAGTCTTCTCGGCGCCTCCCGGCGCCGGGGAGCCAACGCGTGGAGGAAAGCGCTAGGCGGCGGGGCCGACACCAGCCACATGCAACAGCTTTCGTACACCCCCCCCTGCCCAGTCCCCCCCCCCCGAGGCCCAACGTTAGGGGTAGACCAGCTCAGGGGGGAAAGCATCGAGCTTGAGTCGGCGATACATCCCCGACCGGCCAGCGATAGCGAATCCGCACGGTCCTGGGCGAGGTGGGCTATCGGCGACCTATCGGCGATGGGCTAGCGATTCGGGGTTGATGCGTCCCCCTTGAGCCTATCCCCTTGGTGATCCTCGTCAGCCGAAATAGCTCAGCTCTCCTGCGGCCGTTCGGGACGATTCGGACACCACACCCGAGAGCCCTCGACGAGGCGCAACTGATGGAAACCACACCCAATGTCGGGAACTTTCGAACATCCTCGAGAACTCCGACCTCCCCCCCGTGTCGCCCGACCCGAACCTGCTCTGACACCAACCGAGCGGCCCGCATCGGAGCAGGGCGAGTTGAGACAGCAGCAACTCAAAATCGACCCCTGGATACCTCCCGGGCACCATTTTTCCAAACCGCGTCCAGCCGAGGCGACGAAGGGCACCCCCTCCGAAGGCGAAGTACCGCCGTCTCGCCTCGCGCTCTTCCGACTGCCGCCCCACGAGACCCTTCTTTCGCGGTAAGATCGGGCCGGGCGAAGGGGGGGGATAGCAAAGGGGGGTTTGAGAATCAGCTCGCGTAGCTGATTTTCCCGGCGCCTCCCGGCGACGGGAGGCGCCCACGTATCGAGGAAGTGGCCCCTCGGTGGGGCCGAAACCAGCTGCATGCAGCAGATTTCGTTCGTCCCGATAAGAGGAACAAACTACAACATCAACATTCAAGGGGCCCTGGGACACACAAATAAATACACACAAATAACATAACAAATCCGCCGACCCTGTCGGCGTGTGTGAGGGGCTTTTCCGTTCGAGCCGTCATCTCCGTTATTCTTTGTACTCGTCGTCTCTGTCCTTCCCTTTCCCTGGGACTCCTCTTCCCCTGGGCTCCAGCCAAGCCGACCTTGAGCAACGTCGTAATTCAGTCGAAGGGAAGCCCCTTCCCTTTGATCCCTCCCCCGCCGGGGAGGGGGGGGGGGGGGGGTAGCGACCCCCCCCCCCGGGTCAGATACGACGCCCCCCCCCCTGGGTACCGACCTTGAGCAACTCGTAATTCAGTCGAAGGGAAGCCCCTTCCCTTTGATCCCTCCCCCGCCGGGAGGGGGGGGGGGTAGCGGGGGGGGTAGCGACCCCCCCCCCGGGTCAGATACGACGCCCCCCCCCGTACCGACCTTGAGCAACGTCGTAATTGAGTCGAAGGGAAGCCCCTTCCCTTTCCCTTCCCCGACGGGGGGGGGAGGGGGGGTCCCGGGGGGGGTCCCAGGGGAGTCCCGGGGAAGTCCCGGGTCAGATACGACACCTCCCTCCCCCACCTTCTCGTCCTTCTCCCCGTTCCCCAAAACCATCCCACAGCCCGTGCCTCTTGCTGCGCATTGCGAACAGGGTCGGCGGCACCGGCCGTAAGGCCTTCGCAATAAATACACACAAATAACATAATCCCGCATGTTTTCCAATATTTTCTGGATTATTGTCTTCCCCCCCACTTCCCATAGTTTCCCATATTTTCTGGGGAATCGACGATTCATTGTGTCTGTGTGGTTTTTTTCCTCCTGAAGCATGCGCGTCCTTCCTCCCGGGCGCGCGGAGCGCAGCAAGGGCCCCCCCCCTCGTGCTGGGCGCCCCCTCCTGGACCCGCGCTGGGACCCCCTCCCAGAGGGCCGAACCTGAACGGCGTATTTCGTTTTCGTTTCGTTCTCGCTGTCCCTCGCTTTTGTCTCGAATGATTCGAGACAAAAGCGAGGGATTCGGATGATATTCGGTATCATTTGCGGTATGATCTTCGAATGATTCAAGTGATTCGAATCATTTGCGGTAAAGGCGGATTCGAGTCGAATCCGCCTTCACCGCAAAACGAGGTCGAAGCGAAAACGGCCCACGAAGTCGCCCCCAAACACCGTTTGGGTCCAGCCCTGCCATTCCAGACGCGCGGAGCGCGCCATGGGCGGCGCCAGAGGCGCTGCCAGGGGGCTCCAGCGCCGATCCAAGAGATCCGCGCGGACCTCCGATGGGCTTACTTCCTTTTTGCTCAGCGGGCCTTTTGCGCGCCCGCGGGCGCCGGTTTCGAAGGAGCACGCCGGAATTGAAGAAATCGAATCAACTCGTCCTCCCCGGAGCTTGGCCCTCCAGAGTGGAAACAAGTCACGCGCCGACTCGTGGCGCGGCGTGCTGCGCCCTGAGGCGGGAGCGCTTGGGGGCGCAGAATCGAATCGATAGGTCGGATCGGCGAGCGAAAGGAATCGAGTTGGTGAACATCGGCAGCCAAGTCGGCAGAAAACAAGCCGGCGAAAATCCGCAGGCCGATGAAGCCTCCATTGAGGCACCGCTGTCCAAGCCAGAATCCGAAGCAGAATCGAGTCGGAGCCGGAATCGATCGAGATCGAACCGACTCGAGTCGGAGCCGACACGAGCCCTGTCGGGGCCCATCTTTTGCGCGCCCGCGGGAGCGGGCGCGGCGCCGCCTCCCCCCGCGCCGCGCGACGCGCGGCGCTCGGCGTGCGGCGCACAACGCGCGGAACCCGCCGCGAGGGCGGCCCGCGCGAATTCGTGGGCCCGCACCGCGCCGGGACGCCGCTTCCAGATCCCTCCCTGGCTCCATCGCTCCTCCCTCCCTCGCTCCCTAGGTGCCTCTCCCTCCTTGCTTCCCAGTCCCTCGCTCCCTGGCTCCCCCTCCACCCTCGCTCCGCCTCCCTCCTCGCTCCTCACTCCTCCTCGTCCTCCTCCTCCTCCTCCTCCTCCTCCTCCTCGCTCCTCGCTCCTCGCTCCTCCTGTGCCTCCTCCTCCTCCTCCTCCTCCTCCTCCTTCCTCCTCCTTCTCCTCCTCCTCCTCCCTCCTCCCTCCTCCTCCTCCTCCTCCTCCTCCTCCTCCCTCCTCCTCCTCCCTCCTCCTCCCTCTCCTCCTCCTCCTCCTCCCTCCCTCCCTCCTCCTCCCTCCCTCCTCCCTCCTCCCTCCTCCTCCTCCTCCTCCTCCTCTTCCTCCTCCTCCTCCTTCCCTCCTCCCTCCTCCCTCCTCCCTCCTCCTCCTCTCCTCCCCCTCCTCCCTCCTCCCTCCTCCCTCCTCCCTCCTCCCTCCTCCCTCCTCCCTCCTCCCTCCCTCCTCCTCCCTCCTCCTCCTCCTCCTCCTCCTCCTCCTCCTCCTCCTCCTCCTCCTCCTCCTCGTACCTCGCTCCTCCTCGCTCCTCCTCGCTCCTCCTCGCTTCTCCTCGCTCCTTTTTCTCATCGCTCCTCCTCGCACCTCATCCTCCTCCTCCTCCGCTTTCGCGCCGCGCACAGTCGCCTCAAAACCTTGCCACCGATACAAAGATTGAGGACAGTTTGTTTCCAATGTGGGACTCTCGCCTCGGCGCCCCTCATTTTTGCTTGCAGTCGGGGTTGATTGGAGAGAGCACGCGAGAGGACACAAGACACTTCGGAAGGCCACAGTGCCATAGCAATATATGAAGGCACTGGTCGCGAAACACATGTCCCAAGGGTACCCATTTGGCAGGGTCGACCTGCTAATCAACCTCGACAAAATGCGGTCCTCGCTGACTTTGCAAGCCCCAGGTTTCAGCACATGTAGCGCGGATCCACGGTGGCTTTTTTTTAATGGAAGACGATCCAGGCACCCCTCGGAACGCTCTCGGCGAGGCGCAGCTGATGGAGACCACCCTGGGTAGAACACTCCAACACGTTCGATCCCGTTCGAAGACCTCTCCCACTGCATTCTGGCCCGAACCTGCTCGGACACCTGACACCAACCCCCGCGGAAACCCGAACCTCGAACCCGAAGCGGCCGGAAACCTCGGGCCACGAACCCGAAACGAACGCTGCCCTGAGATCTGATGCCGCTGCAAATCAAGACCGGAGCTGTCGACCTGAAGGGGCCCTGGGACACACAAAGAAATAGACACAGATAACAGGATTCCCCATATCTTCCCGTATTTTCTGGGCTCTTGTCTTCCCCTCCATTTCCCATATTTCCCCAAATTTTCTGGGGAATCGACGACTAATTGTGTCTGCGTGTTTTTTCCCTCCTGACGACCCTCCGCACCACCGTCGAGCTGGACAAAGCCCGCCGGGGCCCACAGACAGCCCGGAACCGACCGCCGTGAGCCGCCACCGACGCCCAGCCGCCACAGCCATGCGCCCTGAGCCCATCCGCCCCTCACGTCCCCCCGGACCCGAGAGAGCCTCGTCGTTTGGTTGCCTAGGCGGAGGAGGAGGAGGAGGAGGAGGAGGTGGAGGAGGTGGAGGAGGGGGAGGGGGAGGGGGAGGAGGAGGAGGAGGAGGAGGAGGAGGAGGAGGAGGAGGAGGAGGAGGAGGAGGAGGAGGAGGAGGAGGAGGAGGAGGAGGAGGAGGGGAAGGAGGAGGCCTCGGCGGCCGTTCGGGACGATCTGGGCACCCCTGGGGCGCCCTCGGCGAGGCGCAGCC